TCGTCTGCGCACACCTGCGAGCGCGCGCACTGCTGTGTTCTACGGGGCACGCCGTCGACCTGCTTTGTTGGCAGGTCGCCCTTCTGCAGTGCTGTCGCAATGCTGGCAGGCGGTCGACCGAGCTGCGCTGGCAGTCGACCAGGCTAGCTGCAGGGTTGCTAGGTGCCTGATGTAGTCATTGTTGTCATTGCTTCTTTGATTCAATTCTGTAATTCCAACTTTGCTAGTGGAAACTCTTGCCAATTTCTCCTGTGAATGTGCAAGCACTAAGGAACCAAGCAAAGCTGAGATCACCTCTAGTAGTTCGTGCCAACCCTGTAGTCTAGCTCACTGCCGTTGTAAAGTGAATCTCCGCATGGTGCGGTGAGCGTGGATCGAACACGCGACCTTCAGATAGGAGCCGACTTTTGCACCTACTAAGTCGTTCGTAGGCCGGCAGCAACGATAGTCGCCATGGTCGACCCCGTAGTTGATGCGGGTGTAGCTGACACTTTGGAGGCACGTTTGGCTGATGCGAGGAGACGCCACGCGAATGGCGAGTACGGGACGATCCCCTTAGTGATCGCCGAGTTGGGCATCCGGTCGCAGTGGGCGACGGAACACCCTTCCCGTCCTGCTTCTCCTCGACCGGTGCGCAACGAAGGTGGCGTCGACGACGAGGTCGACGGTGGTGCACGAGTCAGCGGCAGCGAAGGCACGAGGCATAGAGGAGTGATCAAGGTCGACGGTGGTGTCGACGGAATCCAGGCGCGAGTGCAGCGGTCGACGGCGGCTGCAGGCAGCTCGCACGCCGACGTCGATGTTCGACGTCGCTCTCCTCTACGAAGTGGTGGTGGGCTCTCGGCGACGACGCATGTGACGGCGGGCGGGATTGCACCGGCGTATGGCTATTTCAAGTTTTCGCCGGATCGAATCACCGTCGCTCCGCTGCAAGGTCGACGGGACCTCATCACCTGGAGGGAGTCGATCGAACCTCAGCTGGAGGTCGCCGGGCTGAAGGGCTTCGCCGACGGCACCGTGCCAATTCCGCCCGAGGAGGATGTCGGGCTGCGCGGGGAGTTTCGTTCTGCTCACCTGCTCACCTTCATGGTCATCTCGAGGTGCTGCTCGCCGGTGGTACAGCTGGCGCTCAGGAGCTGTCGAGAGCGACTGGATGCTGGTCACCAGGCATGGCGCTTCATCATATCGACGTACCAGGTCAGGGACGACCTGTACATCGGGCAGCTGGAGGAGAAGATGACCCACATTCGGATGGGCGAGCAGGAGTCGGCGACGGATTACTGCAACCGTGCTCGACGGATCCTGGCTGAAATGCGAATGGCAGGCGCCGAATACTCGACGGCGTCCTACATCACCCACATCGTCAAGGGCTTGCCGCGCAGCTACAATCTCATGAAGAGGATGATAATGGTGTCAGAATATTATTCTTATGTTCTAGCCTGTAGTGGGGTGCTCTATAGCGAGTACAACCCTTCTAGGGTTTGCTATTTGTATCCCCATTTCTGCTAGTTCATTCCTCTTTCTTTCTTCTAATTTTGTCATGCTATCAGAGCAGGTCGATCCCCTTGGATCGATCCTGTGGGTGGGTTTCCACCTCGCTTCCGCTGCTACCTTTCCTTCCCGCCGTGCGCCCCGAGGCGACAACCACCAGAAAGTAACGCTCCCTCCCAGACCCCTGCGTCGGGGCAGGGCCCCAGACGTCCAAGTGGAGAGTCTCGAAGGGAGCAGTGGCCGGACGAAGGGAGGAGGAGTGGGGAGTGGCGCGTAAGCGACCAGCGACGCAAGGAGAGCAAGGAGGGGCAAGCGAGAGAGGGAGCGACGGGAAGGTGCGTGGGAGACCTGTGACGAGTCCCTGACTGAGCATACCATGAAGGCGAGGGATCGACGGGTGGCCAAGACGGTGGTGCCACAGGACGGTGCGGTGGGCGAGAGAGCGACAGGAGCAAGACGCGGCGACTGGACTGGACACAGCGACAGGACTGGACACGACTACCTGACTAGACACAGCAACGGGACTGGGGACCTGGGCCGGAGGGGACGCAACGACCTGAGGGGAGGACGCGACCGGGGAGCGCTCGGTGTGGAGAATGTAGAGACCGGAGCGGGGCTCCCTGGTGAACGTGGCTAGAACAGCACCTGTGGTAGCGTCAGTACAGACTGCAGTCCGCCCACCCCCCACGAAGGTAACTGTGATCCCCCTATCCTGGAGGTATCCAACACCTACCAAGTTCCGAGTGAACGAGGGGATGTGGAGGCCACGCAGGACACCAGAGGGGACCACAGGGCACGGGAGGGTGGTGGAGCTACGCGCAACGGCTGGTCCAGAGGTAGGATCAGCCAGAGCCACCGACACAGGTGTGAGCAGTAGCGTAAGGGTCGTGTGGTCGCGGAAGAAGCACTGAGACGCGCCCGAGTCCAGCGTGAACGAAAGAGAGGCCTCAGCCGGTGGGTCACCTGACCCAGTCGCTACACAAGCACCTAGAGCAGCAACACAAGCACCTAAGCTAGACAAGCACAAGGCTACACTAGCAGGAGGCAAGCAGGCTAACCTACGAACACGCGAGCACCTAGATCCATCAGCACTAAAGTCAGCATCAACATACAAAGCATGCTGACGCGCATCGTCCATGGACAAAGCAAATACATCAATCTTACGGGCTAACAGACGAGACCAGCAAGGCGTGACCGCCAGAGGGCCCCAACGAGCTCGGTAGAGGTCGTCGAGGCGGCAGAAGCACCGCGCGGCAGAGTGGTCGTCGCGACCACAGAGATAGGGGCTACCCGGCCCGGTGACGCACCAGTGGGTGCACGGGCCAGCGTCACGGCGAGGGGGGCGAGGGGCCCAGCTGGAAGTACTGCTGCTGCGGGTGGTGCTCCCAGGGCCTCCCGGACCCCACTGCGGCGGGGGACCCCAGTGCTACTGCGGACCCCACTGCAGCGGGGGCCCCCACTGCTCGAACTTCTGCGGCGCTTGCTGGTGCTGCTGTCCCTGCTGTGGCAGGTGCTGCTGTGGCTGCTGCTGCTGGGGGGGAACGCCCCCACCGGTCGGGCCACCACCTGTGGGTGGGCCTGTCTGTCCAGCACCTCCTCCAAGCCCCCCTCCCCTAGGTGCACCGCCGCCGCCGCCGCCGCCGCCTCCGCCACCACCGGCGCTCCCACCTCTACCGCCACCTCCACCGCTGCCTCCACCGCCTCCACCTCCCCCCTTCCCGCCCTTCTTGCCACTCTTGCCCCGTTTCTGCCAGTCTGCGGCAGAAACGGAAGCGGTGTCCTCAGAGACCGACACAGCAGCAGAAGCGCGGGTAGCGGTGAAAGTGGGAAGCTGAGGGGCGGCACACCCCGCAAAGAGACGGGGGGCCACCGCATCAGTGGCGGAGGCAACGGTGAGGAGACTGCTCTCGATGGTCCCTAGAGCAGTCGCTAGGAGGTCGATAGTGAGCTCAGTGGGGTGCTTCTGAAGAAGCGCGTCGCGGGCAGTGGCAAGGCGGTCAGGGAGGCGGGTGACTAACCAGTGCACAGTGAGCCACATGGGGGGGGGGGGGAGCAACAAGGAGCTGTGCGTCGGTACAGGCAGCACGGAAACCGGCGTCAAGCGAGCGGAGGTGAGTCACGAGATCGGAAACAGTCGCAAACGAGCCTAGGTCGGGAAACACAAACGGCATGAGGAGGCGACTGAGGGAGGCAGAGGAGGGGGTGGAGTAGCGGGCAACAATAGCATCCCACACCCCCTGGGCTGTCTCCACCTGGTCAAAGTGGGCGGCCTCAGTCGGGGGGAGAAGCTCCGACAGTGTGAGAGCAGCGGCAGCGTCACGCGAGAGCCACACGTCCCTGGCCAGGACCCGACGGTCGTACTCCGCCTGGGCCGTAGGGGTCGGCTCCGGGGTGGTAGGCAGGGCGGCGGGGGACAAGGGGGCCTGTAGGGCACCAGACGCGTGAGCCCACAGAGTGGCGCTGTCCTGTCGCTGGCTGGTGAGGAAGCGCGTGGTCTGGCGCTGCCAGGTGTCGAACTCTACCGGGCGTCCTTCCGCGTCGAAACGGAGGCGACGAGACTCCATAACGGAATACATGCTCGAGGCGGCTGGAGCACGGCGGAGGCTGAGATAAGAACAAGGAGGACGGCTACTGAGGGCGAGAGACGCCAGGTGGGACGCTACGAGTGAACCGACAGCGGAAGGAGCAAACGAGGTGAGGCGGAGAACGGCTAGGGACGCCAGGGACGGATCGACTAGGAGCTAGGGAGGATTCGGCGCTACGGCTAGCTACCGGAGGTATGAGCGGCTGCCAGCCGCTGAGGTGAAGGCCAGTGACCGGGAGAATGGGGAGGGCCCGGGAAACAGGGCGGAGGAGGGGTGAAAAACGGTCACGTGCCGAGGGTAGGTGCGGATCGGGCGGGCTAGGGTGATGCTGACGGTGGGAATGGGCGGGAGGGCGGTTTTGACGGTGGGAATGGGCGAGGAGGGCGGTTTGACGGTGGGAATGGGCAGGCAGGGGTGTTTTGACTGTGGGAAAGGGCGGGGGGAGGGCGCGACGGTATAGGACTGGGGCGTGGGCGACGGGCTAGGCGCGGAGGGCGAGGGGCAGGGCGTAGGGGCGCCGCGACGAGCTGGGGCAGCGCCTACGGGCTACGCGCTGGCTAGGGGCAGGGCGCACGGGCGCCGCGACGGGCTGGGGCAGGGCCTACAGGCGTCGCGACGGGCTAGGGCAGGGCCTACGGGCGTCGCGACGGGCTGGGGCAGGGCCTACGGGCGTCGCGACGGGCTGGGGCAGGGCCTACGGGCGTCGCGACGGGCTGGGGCAGGGCCTACGGGCGTCGCGACGGGCTGGGGCAGGGCCTACGGGCGTCGCGACGGGCTGAGGCAGGGCCTACGGGCGTCGCGACAGGCTGGAGCAGGGCCTACGGGTGCTCCGACGGGCTGAGGCAGGGCCTACGGGCGTCGCGCGGGCTAGGGGCAGGGCGCAGGCTAGGCGCGCGAAGGGGCGCGTTAAGGGGGGGGGGGGGCGGGCTGAGGGCCACGCTAAGGGGCGCGGGCTAGGAGCGCGAGTGCGCAACAACCTCGGAGGGCGCGGAGGGTGCGGAGGGCGCTAGGCGCGACGGAGGGCGCGGAGGGCGCTAGGCGCACCGAGGGCTAGGCTAGGAACGTAACTACTCGTGATACCATCTCAAATAGTGAACGCAACGGAATGATTGGAATAGAAATGAATGGGGTACAAATAAGCAACCCTAGAAGCTGTACCCCCTAGAGTGCAACTCACTACAGCCTATCACATCAATGTGCAACATTTGACAGGAAGGGTCAAGAGCAACAGAGCAGTCACTGGTCAAGCAACCGTGGAGTGAAGCAGCAGCATACAGTCGTGAGTGAAGCAGCAGCATACATTCGTGAGTGAAGCAGCAGCATACATTCGTGAGTAAAGCAGCAGCATACATTCGTGAGTGAAGCAGCAGCATACAGTCGTGAGTGAAGCAGCAACATACAGTCGTGAGTGAAGCAGCAACATACATTCGTGAGTGAAGCAGCAGCATACAGTCGTGAGTGAAGCAGCAGCATACATTCGTGAGTGAAGCAGCAGCATACATTCGTGAGTGAAGCAGCAGCATACATTCGTGAGTGAAGCAGCAGCATACATTCGTGAGTGAAGCAGCAGCATACATTCGTGAGTGAAGCAGCAGCATACATTCGTGAGTGAAGCAGCAGCACTCACTGGCAGCGTGTAGTAGAAAGCAGAGCATACAGACACGCCTCATTTTCTCATGTTGAGCTCTTTTTTCTCCTCAAGATGCTTCGAGCAGTCAACACCCTGCAATTGATACAGTGGCCAATGACACTCTCCAAGTCCAACCGTTAACAAACCACAGCTTGTGAAAGGTGATCAGTCGTATCAACAGTGCTAGTAGTGTTTTCGAAATGTAAGCACAAATGAAAGCAAGCCTGAAGCAGCAGGTGGGAATTGGTGAAGTGAGAAGCAGCAGAAAATTAGAGCCAGAGAAGACCACAGAAAGCAAGGCATTGTGGCAAGACAGGCCGGATGCAGAAATAGGCAGGTGAAGCTGCACCATGTTGTTGCTTTTAAACTCCTCAATGGTGAGTTCGAAGAGGGAGTGCACATCGGCACACTGCCAGTTGCTGCCATTCACCACCAGCGTGGAGGCAGCATTCCACTCTGCCCACAGAAAGAAGGGAGGGCGGAAGGCAGGGAGCGAGGAAGGCAGAAAGTGTGGATGACAGGAAGGAGAGAACACAGCTTTCTTTCATTGCTGAAGCTGTGTTACATCTAATTCACCATACCCCTTTAGAAATGACACAAAAAAAAAACTACCTTTGGAGCAGGTGGGGAAGTCATCAACGGTGGAGTCGAGTGAGTGTGTGGGCGAGCACACATACGTGTACGAGCCCTTGAGGTCGTTGATACACGACCCCACCTCACATGGGTTCCGTGTGCTGCCACTGCACACATCCACTGTCACACACGAGTGGCGGGGCAAACAGACCGGTGGGCAGTCAGCATAAAAAACAAAGACCATAGGATAGATCCAATATCAGATGTACTAAACTACACTCACTGCGAGCGCACTGCATGGAACTCCTGGTACATCTATTATAGCAAACTGCGGGATGGAAATTTGGCAATGTGCAGCCCATATCCAATGTCACTGATACTCAATGTACAAGCCGTAGCCCTATCTCCCTCTGTATGTTTTACGTGGGGAGCTGAAGAGAATGTTAACTTTGACAGTCGATTGTTATAAAAAAGGACTCTAACTTGTAGGCATAGGCCAGTCATGCTGTTAACTTAATTCCCACATCACAACAGCACACTGTAGGCACAGGAGCTAGAAACACCCACCATAGGCACAGGACTGAGAGCCGTCTTTGTTGACTGCCTCAATGAAGGGAGGCTTGCAGGAACAATTGTTGGAAGGTTCGCCAATTCGATTTGTACAATTGAAGGAGCCACAGGGGTTCATGACGGAGGCTTTATCACCTTTGAGCCTGTATGCACTGGCCATGTAAGGGTCACTGGTATCTGATACAAGGACCAGGACGGGTGAGAGGAAGGAGTGGCCACTGAGTGAGAGAACACCAGCAGCAGTTAGTAGGTGCCACTCTCATGCATTGGCGCATCAATGCAAAATGACAAGGACCGGCAGACACACCAGTACCCATGTTGACAAGGAGCACAACGTGAGTGAAGCAGCAGTGTAACGTGTGAGGGCGTTGTACTTGTTGAGTGCAATATGAGTTTGGCACATCAACCTACCACCTATTCGCTGGCGATGAAGGTAAATGAAGTTTTCTATTTGAAGGTAATTTGTTATGTGTGAGGTGCACATTTCTGTGCTTTATGTTTGGGCGTTTATGGTTCATGAATCGCCTTGACGGTTCATAAATTACGAGCGTTTTCGTGAAGGGTTGCATTTGTGAGTGTTCATGAGTTTCCGTAAGTGAAGGCGAGTGTTCGTGTCGCTTCGTGAGTTCCGAGATCTCGTGCGCGTTCATGTTGTTTCGTGTGTTCTGCGAGTCACGAGTGTTCGTGAAAGTGCCGTGAATGCTCGTGAGTCTGTCCGTGAAACGTCGTTTGATTTCGTGTGAGTTCGTGGTTTTCAAGTGAATTTTGAGAGTTACGTTTTCAATTGTTTTAATGAGTTTGTTTGTAATTTCGTGTGTACGTTCATCCGGGCATCCTATGGGACATGTGCGCAATGCAGCGCAGCGCGAGGTAAATAACGTGCAACAGGGCTCCCACAAGTGGCAGCACGGAGTCAAGTAATTCATGTTGTTTGGTACTCACCTGTCTGTGACCGGACGTGCCTCGTAGGAGTAGCGGCGCTAGACACGCAAGTACCCGGGGCCCTGTACGCCGAGCTAGACCTGGACGGGTTTGGAGGGTCTGACTCTCCCGTCTCAACGGGCACATTATTCGCGTCGCCCCTGTTGCCAGGGAAGAAGAAGTCGAAGAGATCATTCACGCGGGTAGAACCTTCGCGTGAATCGGCCGGTGGATCTTCGCGCTCCGCACCCGCGGCTATTTCCTCAATCTGCATCCTCTCCCAGCTACTAGGTACCGAGTGTGCACCATCTACATTCCCCCCTGCTGATATCGTGGGCTGTTCATGGTTCACAGGTCCCGTAATTGACTGCGTAGCCCCCGCGACTCCATCCTCCGTTTCGTCATCAGATGAGTCTACCACCGGCTATCGGCCATTACCGGTGTGTGGCTCGGGTGTAACAGTCACAATGACGGTTTTATCTCGACTAATGTCGGCACCCGCGTTTATATCACCACACGCTGGCGGTCCCTGCATACGAGTGCCATCTCGATCAAAGCTACCACCCAGTAGCTTGTTGATGTGACGCGCCGCTACCTCTGTGTCGTTGCTGCTAGGGGAGGCCATACCGGGAATAAGGTTAGGGTTTGAACGAATAGCCACACAGTGCTAAATGACTCCTTGTATCTGCCTCCCAAACACCGAAGCCACTTCGGAAGCCATTTCCGTCAGCGACATCGCCGCCAAAATCTCGCCATTTGACGTTGTACACCCGATTGATTTACGGTGTGTGTTACACGACGTGTACAAAGAAGCTCGATAGTGTGAACGGCCCTGAAAACTTTTAAGGTTTGATGTTTACATGATACATCAGATCTCAAACTGGTTACATCTACAAGTATTTCAACGTTTCCACGACACAGTCTAATCCCGTTCCGTAACAACCTATGCCCACGCGCCGATAAGTCAAAAGGCCCTGTCTACCGGGTGGCGTTATACTTTACTAGGCGAACGTAGGCATTATCAATAGTCTTGGATGAGGTGCCTGTCATGGACTCTTCTTGCATGGGCTTAGTAGATACCTTGGACCACCAAGGTATCATCCCCAGAGCACGACTGAGATCCCCGATGCGCCCTCCTTCGTCCATGTCCTTCCACTCCTTGGGCCTGTGCACCTGAAACATGCTTCATCTGGGTTTAGCGTAGGACATGCAGGCACCACAACACACACCGTCCTTTGTAAGGCCATCAACGGAACAACATATACGACTTACAATGGACGAGGTGCCACCTCCTGTGCATATGTCTCTTGAGTGAGGTGCCGAAATCCTGGACCCATCGGACCGATGTCTCTCCTCCTGCACACCAGATAAACATCCCACACCTTTCAATGGCCATCAGAAACACACCCAGTCGGCACGCCAACGATCCTCACCTCATATCCCATCGCCCTTGCCTCGGCCATTAGAACGACTCTGTAGTCAAATGTCGGTAACTCCGGCAGTATGACATCCTCGAGGCTTGTTGCGCTGTGATTTACAAGTATGTAATCCGCTATTGACGTCATAAACCGTCGACCTTTGGCACGTGTAATGCTCGACTCCGACTCGTCCGAATACGTGGCGTATATGAGCCTCAGGTACATGAATGGTGTGGGTGCATCGGGTGTTATTGCAAGAGACGCACGGGCTTCTGAAATCGTGCGCGCCCTGTGCTGTCTAGGACTGCGCCTTCCACTACCCAGGAATGGGTCCTGAGACCTCAGAATCGTGGCCGCGCTAAGGGTCTCACCTCGTTGTGACATTATGGCACCCTGCACCTCCATTATGGCGTAGGCTATAGTGGGCTTAGACCGTATGAAATAACCCCGGATGTTGCGCCGACGAGGCTCCAGCACGTCGCGCGCTTTACAACGCGTTGCGCTCATCATGCCACTACCAACTTAAATCAGTAACATTAGGCGGACGTTAGGGTTTTGTAAGTGTCCGTCCTACGGGAATCGAGGAACGGGCTGCTGGGACGATAGGAAGTGGTGTGGAGTGGTTTGTGGAGTGTTGGCACGCTTTCATGGTCAACTGGGTGTACCGAGCACAAACTGCAAAATTAGTTCGCGCTTTCTTCAGATTGTGCCATATCGGGGAGGTGAACATCATACTCGCTCTCGGATTGAGCGTGGAAATCCCTATATCCCCAACGTGAACAATCTCGTTACGTACACAATGATTGACGATGTGC